AAAAAAAATATTTTAAAAAAATAAAAAAATTTCTGAATAACAATTGAAAATTAATTTACTAACACATTAACACTTAAAATTGGATAATTTATATAATAATTGAWCWWTTATGTGATTSATGAYTTCATGTAAAGTTTTAACTTTTAAACATCATAATGGGATTCAAATGTTGAATTTGTAAATTATAATAGATTTAAAATTTGAAGTTGGAACTTGGCAGATTGGAACTGAATTAAGTGTTTTATTAAATAGTATGTTTTTGTTCCTGTTTGTTGATTATAATATTTTTTTTTATAAAAGCCCATTAAAACACGTGATTTTTATGTATAAATAACTCATTTAAGTCTTATATTTAGTGATATTGGTGTTTACTTATGAATTTATTAGAGTATTTATAGCATTTACATGTGTTTTCATGCGTCTCTTAATTTTTCGTCCGTATTTATATGTATCCAAGGTGTGTCCCGATATATCTCTTATATTTGTCCTTCCAATACTTTGAACCTTGTTTTCCCCAAAAGTATAGTGTCTTTTTTGATAAAAAAAAGTATGGTGTTAACTTGCCCCATCCATTATTCAACAAAGCAGCTCAATCCAATACGCCCACGTTTCCATAAATTTGGAAAAACATAAAAAAAAAGAAAAAAAAAACAACTTTTAAAAGTTAAGAGTTAAGAGTTGTGGCCATTGGAAGGGCTTTCCGGTGGCTTTGTAAGATGGACCCGATTTGGACGGCCTATAAATAATGTTAGGTGAAAAGCCCAAATTTGCAGTCCTTTAAGCCAAAATAATAAAATAACTTATTTTCATTGAAGTTATTTTAGTCCCCATTTGGGGGTCTTTCCAAGGCAGCTTTTGCCTTTGCAAGATGGGGCTACACCATAAAGCCCAAATATACTGTCCTTAGCCAAAAAAAAAAATAGAAAAAATATATTTTTTATGGAAATTTTTTTTAATGCCCAATTAAGAGTGCTTCTAGTGGTAGCTTTTGGTTGTAGTGATGGGATTCCTGTGAGCAAGAACTATGCATATATATCTATATATTAGTGGAGACTCGTGCATGGCACGGACTTTGTTAAGTAAAAGTTAAATAATAGAAATACATAAGAGTATATAATTGTTTTATATTTTAACTTTTTAATAATCAATTCAATCGAATTCAACCCAAGTTGGTCAATTTTTTAGTATTTCCAATAGGCTTTGGTTTAGTAATTTTCCAACCCGACTAAGTTAGGTCAATTTTAGTTTGGCCATTTGTAAACTGACCAAAACTGAACAGACCCAACCATAAATATTTATTAATATTTTATATTTAAATTTAATTTTTTAATACAGGAAAGTGGAAAAATTCTCATATTTCTTAGTCTAAAATATTTTATATTATAAATTTATTTTTTAATAATATCATTATAATTTATTAAATTTAAGTTTAACTTTTAAGTTTAAATCTTTTGAACAAACGAACCAAACCGAAAATAGGCCCAAACCGATACAATCCGTGTTTGTGGGTTTTAAATAATGGTCAATCAGTTTCGAGTGATAAACTCCCAACTTGACGAGATCGATTTGGTTAGTCAAACGGCCTGCAATTGAACTGAACCAATCATTGAACACTCCCAATTTCAATTAAATTAATAGTCTAATCTCTAATAAATAACAATAGTTTAATCTCCAATAATTATTAAAAATTTATGGGAAAAGTACATAGCCATTGAAGATAAATTTATAATGAAAATATAATAGATATCTAATAATAATACAATTGGTTGGGAAATTGTTCAACCAAAGTTGACTAGAAATACTAGAAAGCAGGTCGATCATTTTCATTAGTTTGATTCGGAATGGCAACGGGGCGAGGCAGGGACAAAGTTATCCCCATCACCATGAGGATCCCCATTCCCCGTGATTTTTTATAATGTCAACCACTATGTTTTTATTTTTTATTTTATTTAAAAAATAAAAATAAAATAATTAAAAATTGCAATCCTATTAGAAAAGATTCAAATATATTCAACTATATTTTTAAAAACATTAATATATAGATGTATGCGTACATATATACATATATAAATGTATGTGTATATATACATATATATTAGCGAGGATCCCATGGGGTGGGGATCGGGGTCCGCGTGGGGCAAAGAGCACTCTCCCCATCCCCGCATCGTCCCCGCCAACAGGGATGAAAATTTTCCCATGTCTATCCCCGTGAGGGAAAAATCATCCCTATCTCTGCCCTATTCAGGAAAAATCCCCACGATGATTGGGGAAATGGAGAAAATTGTCATCCCTAAATTTGATAAACAATGATATCTAAAATTAATTATTGTTATTTTTGTGTTGTAAAATAATATTAAAAGTATTATATAAAATATGAGTGATTATTAATTATTATATATAACAATTGTATACTCTTGCATCCCTAGTATTCTGTGAAAGCATGGGAATTCAGCCAGATATTGAAAATATCTTCCCATAAATTTAACACGTATGAAAGATATTCCTAATGTGTGGCTGGATGCTACGTGAGCAAAGAGATTTTGCTTGCAGGAGATAAACCCTCCAAAGTTTAAATTTGTTGTCCTTCAGCCAAAAAGCTTCGGCCCAACCAATTAGTTTCTCTAAAGAAGATGAATAAAAACAGCTCCATATCTTCCTGTATGTAAGTGGGCTAGTTTTTCTTCTGTATCCATCAAAAACTACATTTAATGATTTAATCATCTATGAATGTAAAAGGCACAAGTACATTATTACATGAATGTCTGTAAATGAAAACAAAACAACAATGCTTTACTTTCAAATTCAAAAAAGTAAAAAGAGCAAAATTACAACAAATATTACAAATATTTCCTGTGCATCAACCACAACTATTATGCCCATTTAGCTAAGACAGACATGCAACCAGCCCCAATTAAAAGTGAGATATATGCTCCAATCTGAAGTCTTCCGTTGCTTTGCATCCTAGGGTTCATGAAATCAGCTGCAAGTAGATCAACAAGCGCCATATAAATCAAGATCCCAGCTGCAGCAGAATCAAGAACCCCTTCAACGCTTAGAGCAGTTGAAGTGTTCTCATCATAAATGTTTGTTATTCCTAAGCCCACTGCAATCCCAACAGGAGTGGTAAGAGAGAAAAACAGTGTCATCACCACTACAGCCCTCCTTTTGAATCTTGCCTGTTGACAGACATGAAAAAAGATGAAATATCTATCAATTAATAAACAAATAAAAGACAAAAAGCAATTGAACCAGAGATACAAACTCTCAAATGAAATTAACCATCTTTTTCATTGCAGTTGGACTGAACCTACATAAATGATTTAAAAGCATAGGACCCAGTTGAGACCAACCCAAGTGGAGCTCTACTCCTTGGGTGGGGTCCAAGAAACAGAGGACAACATACTGCAATTCGGTAAATGAAATGAAACAAATGGTTTTAATTTGATACCTGAGTGATACACCCCCCAAGTCCTATGCCCTCAAAGAACTGATGGAAAGTCAGAGCTGCAACCAGGGGCCTAATTGTTGAAGGGCTTTCAGAAGCTCCCAAAGAAATACCAATAATCACAGAGTGAACTACAATCCCCAACTCCAAAACCTTCATCACCAATACATCATTATTAGTACTCAGTTCTCATAAATTCATAATAATCAGGGCAAAACAGTTAAGGGAATTCAAAAACCCTACAGAAGGATTAATTGGAGAAGAGAAGCAGGAGATGGAAAAGGAAACCACCAAGATTCTGGCCAAATACCAGATTTCTCAACAACCCATTTGAGTGAGATAGGTCAGTCCAACTCCCATGGCAACTTTACCTGCGAAATGATTCGATGCCGAAGAAGCTCCGAACTGCTTGAATCCGATCCGTGAGAGTGACCATGCGTAGCATGCGTATGAACATGGAGGTGCCCTGCATGCTCACCGCCCGTCTCCTGGTCGACACTCAACGGCTGAGATTTATTGAAGTGAAGCCTCTGGAAGTAACTGGTCGCAATGGTATCCACCATTAACGTAATGATTCCAGACATCATTGCGACGAACCCAGTGAAGGGAAAATTCTCCCACACCTTCCCTTTGAGGCAAGGCGACGTTAATTTCTCGAACGCATCGGGGAGAATGTGTATGAACCCTGTTGCTAGGATTACACCAGCTGCGAAGGCCTTGATCATAAAGAAGATATCATTGTCAGGTCGCAACGGCGGGAATGACTTTCCGAGCACCGGAATACAGACTCCAATCGCACTGGCCGACAGAATTGCTACCATCCCAGCTATCTTATATTTAAGTGATGTAGCTTTGTCATGCTCTTCCTCTGTTGGATCACAGGTGCACTCGCCAGAAGCTAAGATGGGGAGGAGGAGGAGGAGGATGAAGAGGAAGAGAGTTGATGAGATTCTCAAGTGCTTAGATGGACCAGGCTGAAGCTTATTCATGGTTGAGTGATAGAGAATGAGACGAAGAACAGAGAGCGCTGAAGTTGTTGGAAATGTGAGGTCTACCAGGATCCCTTAATTATATAAGCATCAGTGCAGCACAGCCAGCAGCTTGTTTCAGAGGTTCTGACTTCTGAATTTGACAATTAAAGAGAAAAGAATAAAAGACAGATACTGGAGATAGCTTAACCGAGCCCTCCCGGAAAAAGCGATGGATTGAATTGAGAAACGGAAAAGGCAGAAAAGAAAGCAGAAAGCACTGATAGATATTAAAAGCATTAAATCCAGGGTGTGGAGTGTGGACATTATGTTGTCATCGTGCTGTGGAAACATGGCTTTAGGCTTAGAGTGGGATCAGTGCTTTGCTTAGATTGGCAAAGTCAACTGACGAGATGTCGTTATAGGAGTTATTTATTCTTTTATTTATAATTATGCTTGATGACACAACAATTTTGTGGCAACATTTTACATTTTGCGAGTTGTGTGACACGCATGTTTTACATCAAAAGAAACCGAGTTCAAATTTCAGGGCATTCCCCTTACGCCATGTTTAGGCTTTGTTTGTTGGAAAAAATATGATATCCGAAAAACAATTAATCAATAAATTGGAATCATAAACGTCATAGAGAATTAGATGTTATTTATTAAAATTCAAATAAATTGGAATCATAAATGTGATAGAGAATTAGATGTTATTTATTAAAATTCATGAATGGGTTTTAATTGGTCAAAACTCTTTTTATATCATATCTTTTCAATATCATAGATTTTCCCTTGTTTGTTATTTATTAAATTAGTGTTTTCTTGGGAGCCCATATCTCCTCCTCGCCACACTATGCATAACGCCTGTAAGTCAACCATATGAGGATGATCTGTACATAGGTTTTGAAAACGGGGTGAAGAATGCAACAAGGGTTGCAACTTGTAATGCCAAAGGATGTGAAAGGCCTTTTGTGCCCTAAGTGTCTAATCAAACCTCTCTAATTTCTTTTTAGTATATATCAAAATAGAAACCAAATGTCCACTCAAATACCCTTAAATTCACCATTAATTCTGCAAACTGTTAAACTTGTAAGATTCCCATCCAATGGTTCCAATCATTCCCCCATCAACTCCATGTCACATGATCACACTCCATCATTAGAACTAGAGTTATGAAATATCCAATCACATCAAATCTCAGCCCCAAATTCCAAGGTTTTGTCATTTTTATTTCAACAAATCTAACACTCCAACACTTCTCCATGCTAAAACCTATGATCTTTACATACCCAACACGATCAAACTATACCAAATTCCACCTAAGAATTCTCTCATTCAACCCCTAAAGCAATTGAGATTCCGATTCGAGGCCCACAGCTAACTGATCCAACTTGACTTAGAAGACATTGAACCATTAAATCTTTCATTTTGCCTATCTAACAAAATATTTGTATTATCTGCCAGATCACAAACACCCTTAGATATCCATTCACCAAACTCCACCTCCACTTTCTATTATTTTACCCATCATCGAACCAAAATTCCATTTAGCACTCCACGGTGATAAAAACCATCAAGCCCTACATCTCCCCTTCTGACCCTACAACAAAACGTATCAAACTTATCCAACAACATTTAAGCACTCTTAGATCCCCATTTATCATTTTCCACCTTTACCTTTCGTTGTGTCACTTATCACCTCTTGGCAAAAACCTTCAAATATGAGATCTTTATTTTTTACCCAACTTTAAACTTAACAAATCCTACTATCAAATTTTAGAAGTCATTGACCATCTACTTATCAAATTTCATTCCAAAATTTTCTTATTTTGCCCTTCCATTTAAAAAAATTTTGATATGACCATTCTTATTGGGTATGATCCCTTAAACCTGAAAACCTTCTCTTTGACCTGTCTTTTAAGACCATAAAACCTTACCATCATCTTCAAACATCACTACATATTCAACCACCATACTTTGCTCACAAAAATTCCCATTTTACCCCTTCTTTAAGAAATATTTCGATTTGACCATTCTCATTGTTTGAAACTCCCCAAACATAAAGACCTCCCTTGGCCTTGTTCTTGAATTCAATAAACCTTACCATTACCTTTCTAAGACCACCAACTACTCACCAGTCAGATTTCGGTCCAAAAGTCCTCATCTTCCCCTCCATTTAAAAAGATTTCGATCTTGTCATTTTCATTGGCTTTGATCCTCCAAACACAAAAGCCTTCGTTTCATCCAAATTTTTAAGACCATCAAACATTACGATTATTCTCCTAAAATCCTTAACTATTCACCTACCAAATTTTAGCCCCAAAATCTCCATTTTACCCCTAGATTTAGAAAGATTTTGGTGTACACACTCTCATTAGTTGAAACCCCCAAATAAGAAATCCTACCCTCTCACTTGGTTTTCAGGTCATGTGACCTTGACATCATCTTCTTGAGACACTCGACTACCTACCCACCAAATTTTAGCACCAAATACCCCATTTTGCCCTTTCATCAAGAAAGATTCTAATTAGCACAATCTTACTGGTTGAAACTTCTAATGCTCAATCTGCCCAAGATCCCTAGCAACTCTAAGGCCCCGTTTGGTTTGCTAGAATAGGGGTCTGGAATCGGAATCGGAATGGGCTATTCCGATTCCAACTGTTTGATTGGACAGAATCAGAATTTCATTCCCATTTCTGCTGGAATGGCATTCCCTCATCTGCCCCTCCCTTGGGAATGAAATTTCATTCCTTTGATTTTAATTCCCATTCTCATTCCTGTCTGAACCAACAAATTATGGGAATGGACCATTCCAATTCCAATTCCAAAGGATTTCAATTCCGATTCCAACGGCGATCCAAACGGACCCTAACATAATTAACCGCCTAAAACAATTGGGACCCACTTAAACATCCCTCCATAAAATTTTCATTCAAAGGCACCCCCTTCATCCTTCAAAAAACTTTAGATTCTGTTTTCAAAAATCTCACTTGCTCATCCATTTCACCTTCATAATTTTGGCAACCATTAGATTCCCCTCCTTAAATCCAGACCATGTCTTAAAAACATCTCACAATTTCAAAACTAAGTCCCTATAATTACCCACCAAGAGAGGTTTAAGGAAAACCTCAGCCCTTGATTTGAACCCATCTCACTTCTCCACCCTAGGTTCACACTTTCTAGCTATTACACTCCAAAATAAACCCTTGTCAAACCCTAGCCGCCTTTCCCTTTTGGAGCCTATCCAAATTTATATCTATATATTAAAACAGAATTTTCCAATAAGTTAAGACTTTCCTATTTTTTGGTTGTTGGCACTTATCTATTTCCTATTTTTTGAATTTTTCTAATTTTAAAATGAACAAAAAAACTCAAAGTGCCAATCACTTTTAAGACTTTTGTCTCTCCTCACTAACTTTTTCTCCTCTTTTTCATTAACTCCTTTAATTATCTCTTATAATTAATTATGACATTAGTTTTGTTCTTCAATAACTCATGCCATTAATTCTCTGATTACTCCATTAAATTCTCTCTCTCTCTCTCTATATATATATATAATATATACATATACATATATATACATACATATATATATACATATATACATACATATATATATATATATATATATTAAATTATCAGTTTAACTATAATTTTAGATACATTAGGTGTATTTACATTAAATTATAATTATTAATAAAAATTAATTATATTGAAATGGATATATTATTAGGCTAAATAATCAACAAATAAAACCAATGTTTAAAAAAACTACCAATAAGGGAAGAGTCAAGGGTAAGAGTTAACCTCTTTGATTTCACCTTAAAAAACCAAAAAGAATTGAGACCGGACAAGTTGGGTAACAATAAAAATAGGCATCTACCAATTTAGTCTATGGGATTCAGGCCATGTTTGGAAGTGCTTATGTTAAAAATAAGTGCTTAAAAACAAGTGCTTATTCCAATAAACACTTATTTTCAGTTGGCACCCAACTATTTCAAGTGCTTATTTGAAAAAATAAGCACTTATTTCATATCGGACATTTGGTAGTCTTTTTCTTCAATAATTACTTCAATAATCATTTGTGACTATTTTGTTCTTCATTTGCTTTCAAATTTTCAAAATATACCCTTTATGAAAGTACTTTTATTAAATTACTTTTACAAAAACACTTTTATGAAAGTCATTTTATGAAAAGTACTTTTATATAAAAGCACTTTATGAAAACACTTTTATGAAAATACTTTTACAAAAGCACTTTTTGAAAGTACTTCTTAAAATTCAACTAGGGATAATTTTATAAATGGTATTTTAAAATTCAACTAGAGATAACTTTGAAAGAAAAAGTAAGCCCTCATTTTTAAAATAAACAACTATTCTAGCTTATTTTCTAAACACCAATAAGTGCTTAAGTATATAATCTCAATCCTAATGAGCACTTATTTCCAATAAACACTTATTTTTAAGCATTCCCAATAAATATGGTCTCAATTACTACTAATATTGAATTGGTTATCCAATTCAAGGTCAAAAAGTGCACCCATTCATGAATGAGATAACCTTGTCCGTTGCTAGAAAAGCAATGATAAACCTTAGATCGGATGTGGTGTACCATATTAGCAGCACCACTTACAGTGGCAAAAGTCAATAAATTCTCATTCTCAGTTGCCTAACTATCGATTTAAGCAAAAGGAACTGTGTCAAGAAGATAGCACATGTGTAAGAGAAGTGACTGTGGCCTCCAATCCCCATTTTTAATGGTGGCGTTATGGTCATTTTGTAGTGATGGGATCTGTTCCTCACAAACGGTTGTTTCACAGGATTAAGTATTGGAGATGTTCCCAATGTATGATAGGATGTGCATGCGAGGCACCAGGTGTGAGGAGCAGATCCGGTCTCCATTTTGTAACGGCTCTGCACGTCAGGTCACGATGATGATGGATTTTACTAAGATTGTGTTTGGTTGCAAGTATTGATGCAAAACCATGATAGGAAAAATAGTTTGAATGTAAATTCTTACCTATTTTTGTTTCAAATCTTAGCTCATTTTATTTGATTGCAGTGCAAATGAAGTAAATTAAAACATAAAATAGAGTAAAGTAAAATCTAAAACAAAATTAAACAAAAATTTGCATTTTTTACATTTACACATTCCTATGCATTTATATTAGTGCAAATAAATTTGCACTGCAACCAAAGACAGCCTAAGGCTATGACCACGTAATCGGGTGTTATTCT